TAATTAATTTAGTTTATGATTAATAAAATTAATTAACTTTAATTAAAATAAATTAATCATTTTTATTGATCTTAATCTAAGATGATTATATTATTTAATTATCTTGATTAAAAAGATTCATAAATATGATTAATTAATTTTAATTAATTTTAATTAATGGTAAATTAATCATTTAATTAAATCAATTATCTTAGTTAATTAATTTAAATCCTTAATTTCCTTTAATCTTGTTAAAAGTCAAAAATTATCTTTTTTTTATTTCAGTTTCACCCAAGGTTTTTACGATTAGGCAATTTAGTCTTAGGTTTTAAATCTGTTCAAACCAGTCCTTTATGTTTTGAATTTAATCAAATCGGTCTTTTATCTTTCGAATTTAATCAAGTTAGTCCCTTAACTTCTTGTTTATGTTATCGTGCGTGCTTGTCTTGATTTTGTCCATTTTAATCCAAAAGTTTAAAAGTTGTCACAATTCGGTCCATGTATTTTTTAAGCTTACTTATTAAGACCCAATTATAAATATAATAAATAAGTTGAATTAAAACCCTCAATGTTAAAGTATGCAACCGTGTTTAAACGGAGGATTGTGAGTTGCGCGTATGCCCTTCCTTACTCCTAACCGAACCCCCGAACCTCGATTTCTGCGCAGACCCGCTTTAGGTGACTTGTCCCACCTTATAATTTGGATGAGTGGCGACTTCCTTTTTTATATTTTCCATACTTAATTTTTTCATTTATTTTGAAAAAAAATCTTAAGTGGTCGTCAACAACATGCATTATTTGTTAATTACCTATGCATTATAGCTTCAATCTCTTTTTTAATTTATGGCTTTAAGCTTTATTTAATGCGATGATTGTATTTAATTATATATAAATTTATTATTACTTATAAATTTTCTTTGAGGATTATACTCCAATAGGTTCATATATCTTTACTAGTTAATACCCTGAGCAATGCCTAATCCTATGAAATGCCTAAAAAAAATTTTTTATTTAAAAATTTAATATAAAATTGATATATTAATAAAAAGTAATTAATAAGATTTGATTACAGTAATATAAATACATGCATAATGTTTAAAGAATTAAAATCCAAAAAAATAGCAATAACTGTACTCTCATGCTCTAAACTCTTAAGGTTAGGGTTTTGGAGGCAGTGGGCACCTCCATAGGGTTTTCTTTCTATTTGAGGAGCCTCCCTTATTCTTCTCTTCTCTAGATACCATCGCTAACCTGTTCCTATCGTCTTAATCTGGTGACCCATAACCCTATGTGATCCTAAGCAGTGGCATAATACAGGTTTCTGGACCTCTTGCTTGTACTGCCTTGCTTTGATTGCTTGCATCTACTGCTAATATTTTCGATATTATATATTTTTTCATTCTTCTCTATT